CTCTCTCTCTCTCTCTCTTCTCTCTTCTCTCTTCTCTCTTTCTCTCGCCTGTCTCCTCTCTCAACTCCCCCTCTCTCTCTCTCTCCGCTCTCTCTCTCTCTCTCTCCTCTCCCTCTCTCTCGCTTCCTCTCTCTCTCTCTCTTGCTCTCTCTCTCTCTCTTTCTCTCCTTCTCTCTCTCTCTATCTTCCTCTCTCTCTCTCTCTCTTCCTCGCTCTCTCTCTCTCTCGCTCGCTCGCTCGCTCGCTCTCTCTCTCTCTCTCTCTCGCTCGCGCTCGCGCTCGCGCTCGCGCTCGCGCTCGCGCTCGCGTTCGCGCGCTCTCTCTCTCTCTCTCTCTTTCTCGCTCTCTCCCGCTCTCTCTCTCTCTCTCTCTCTTTCTCTCTCTCTCTCTCTCTCTCTCTCCTCTCTGCTCTCTTCGCTACTGGCTTCTGACGGAGTCTGGGTTAGGTGAGCCTGAGTGTGGGTGAGTCTGAGTATGGGTACGTCTGTGTGTGCCTGACTCTGATGAAATGAATCTGAGTGTGAGTGAGCTTGTGTATGAGTGAGTCTGGGTGCGAGTCTGAATCCCAATGGTGCCCCTGGCAGTGTCTGGCGACTAGGAGGCCCGGGTCGACTCCTCTTTGGGAAGCCAAAATGCTGCCCCTGGCAGCGTTTGGTGACTATGAAGCCCCTGGTGGACCCCCCCTGGGGCTCCCAAATGATGCCCCTGGCAGCGTTTTGCGACCATGAGGCTCTCAAGAGATACATGTTGGGGTGGCCAAGCGGCAATTCTAGCTGAGTCGTCCCACCAAAATCGGCGCGAACGGGCTCGTGAGATCAGCCAGGGTGGCTCCCCCTTGGGGCTCCCAAATGATGCCCCTGGCAGCGTTTTGTGTCCATGAGGCTCTCAAGAGATACATGTTGGGGGCGCCAAACGGCAATTCTAGCTGAGACGTCCCACCAAAATCGGCGCGAACGGGCTCGTGAGATCTGCCAGGGTGGCTCCCCCTTGGGGCTCCCAATTGATGCCCCTGGCAGCGTTTTGTGACCATGAGGCTCTCAAGAGATACATGTTGGGGGCGCCAAACGGCAATTCTAGCTGAGACGTCCCACCAAAATCGGCGCGAACGGGCTCGTGAGAACAGCCAGGGTGGCCCCCCCTTGGGGCTCCCAAATGATGCCCCTGGCAGCGTTTTGTGACCATGAGGCTCTCAAGAGATTCATGTTGGGGGCGCCAAACGGCAATTCTAGCTGAGACGTCCCACCAAAATCGGCGCGAACGGGCTCGTGAGATCAGCCAGGGTGGCTCCCCCTTGGGGCTCCCAAATGATGCCCCCTGGCAGCGTTTTGTGACCATGAGGCTCTCAAGAGATACATGTTGGGGAGGCCAAACGGCAATTCTAGCTGAGGCGTCCCACCAAAATCGGCGCGAACGGGCTCGTGAGATCAGCCTGGGTGGCTCCCCCTTGGGGCTCCCAAATGATGCCCCTGGCAGCGTTTTGTGATCATGAGAGAGTGTGAGTGTGAGTGAATGTGACTGTGAGTGAGTCTGAGTGAGAGTGAGTCTCATCTTATCTTATCGAGTCCTGTCTTATCTTACCTTTATTACCCTCTATCTTATCTTATCTTGAAATCTCTTATCTTGTCTTAGCTTATCTTATATCATGTCTTATCTTATCTGGTGATTATCAGTGGGAGGAGGGAGGCGGGAGGCGGGAGGAAGGAGGAGGAGTGGGAGGCGTCAGAGTAATAACAAGAACCCCAATCCTTAGGATATGGGGAACAAGAACCCCAATCCTTAGGATATGGGAAATAAAACATGCAAATGGTTATGCGTGTCATTGAATGTGATTGTATGGATGTACAATGCGTACATGCATGTGCGTACATGTTAGTGTACTATGTATATGTTATCATGTGGCTATACAACAATAGTATACAATATGTACGTGTAAACATGGTAGAAACATGTATTCGTATTTACATAAATAAACAGACATGCGTATGAATATGTGTAAGTGGTGTGTGTATGTGTACACAATGAGTAAACAAGTGTGTGTACCGTTATGTCTAGTATGTATCAGTGTATACGTGCGCATTCAGTACAAAAGTATTCAATATGTATACCAGCTAATATAAATACACACACGCTAGTATATATGCAAACACGCCAAGTATAAAAACACATTTCTAGATTTGCGCATGCATCTGGAAACGCAAAACAATGCGGACACACTTAAACAAGCATGTGTATGTGT